GCATAGGCTAAGTGGGACAGAGGTAAGTGATGAGGTATGCACAACCTTGGAACAACTGGGCTCTGGGATATAGAGATTGAGGCATGGTTTGAAGAGGGGAATAATTTTAAGATGCTTGACTGTCTTTTGAATCTTGGTTTCCCTTGCCTACCAATGTAAAATAAGACACTAGAGGGAGGGAGAAAGGAATAGCCAGAAACATCACTACAGAAAGCTTGTAAATCCATCTTTAGCTTACAACAGATTGGAATACCTTAAAGGGGACTGGAAGTTGCCCAGTGAAAGAGGCTTCCTGTGGAGCCTTTACATTACATAAGACCATAGGTGGAATCCAGAACCCCATCCAGAACCGTCTAATCTTTCCCGGTTACTGGGATGTGGGTGGTGGGATGAGGGGAAGGTGGAGCACAGGGTACGGAATGGACACAGGATGGCTTGGGTGCTGGAGGGGGTGCAATACACAGGAAAGGGAGAGGGTAATGGAAGAACAAGGCAGATGGGAGAACAGTTAGGCAGGTTTGCATGGGCTAAGTAGGACAGAGGTAAATAACGTATGCACAACCATGGAACAATAGGGTTCTGGGATACAGGGATTGAGGCATGGTTTGATGGGTAAAAGGGGGGAAATAATGTTAAGATGCTTGGCTGTCTTTTGAATCTTGATTTCCCTTGCATACCATTGTATGCATACCATTGCTATGATGCTGGGAGCTATGCCACTGGTATACAAGTCACCCCAAACCCTACTACCCAGAAATAAAACATACGTTTTCAGACATTTAATCATATATGCACAGCCAGATTGATATATAATTTGATATGCACTTGCAACCATACCATGTGGAACTTCCTATTATCTGCTTTTCCTCTACTCATCTGTCAGTCTGTCAGACTGTGGTGGCTTGGATGTTGCTATGATGCTGAAAGCGAAGTCACTGGTATTTTAATGACAGTTGTTTTTGTTAAGTGCCGTCGAGTCGGTTCTGACCCATAGCGACCCTGTATAGGGTTTCCAAGGAGACTCTGGTGAGCTTGAACTGCCAACCTTACAGTTCAAACGGCTTTGCAGTCTGGCGCATTAACCCACAGCGCCACACCAGGGTCACGCAAAGTGGACAGGTCTCAGCGTTGTTTCCAGACTAGGAAGATCTGGAGTAGGAAAATTAGTTAGTGAAAGCCCTATGGATCACAGCAGAACCCTGTCTGGCACAGTTGTGGATGATGAGCTAGCTAGGTTGGAAAACACTCAAAATACACAGTGGTCACACAATTAGATGGAACACACTAATGATTTGTGAAGGTGATACAGGACCAGGAAACATTTGGGGCCATTGTGAGTTCTGAACTGACTCTATTACAACTTACAGCAAACAACAATTATTGGAACATGTTTCCTTTATAAGCTTAATGTAATACCTATGCACATTGTAATGCCTTCTCACAATGGAATCTTAATGTAGCCATTGAAATGCTAAAGAGTTTGACATGGGAAGATGCTTAAAATACAATTAAGTGAAAACAAAGACACAAAATGATATATAAAGAAATCAACTCAATGATAACAGTTCATGTGAAGTGCTGTCGAATCAGTTCCAACCCATAACGACGCTGTGTAGTGTTTCTGAGGAACTGCCGACCTTGAAGTTCAAACTGACTTTGCAGTCCAACGCATTAACTCACACCAGGACTCCGACAGTGCATAAAAGCCTACAATAAATTATTTAAAGATCTTAATAATTGCTGCCTCTTTGTAGTGGGATCTTAGGTAATTATTTCTGGCCCATTCACCTTTTTTATGTCTTTACTGATTTTCTTATGTGGTCATGTGCTGTTTTCATAATTCTGGGGCAGCAAGAAAATTCTTCTGTATCCTCATGTGGGATTGCCTTTCTGATTTATACTTATTTGTCCTAAACTTGAGTTCTGAGGGCAACTCATCACAAACTTCATTGTTTTTCCTCAGAATAATCTTTCAAAAACTTTGAAGACAGACAGAATATCTTCTACAAGAGCTCTGGTGGTATAACGGATTAAGCTCTTGACTGTTGATCGGAAGGTCAGAGGTTTGAACCCGCCAGCCACTCTAGAGAAGGATGTGGCAGTCTGCTTCCATAAAGATTTGCAGTCTTGGAAGCTCTGTGGGTCAGTTTTACAGCCTCACTATGAGTCTGAATCAACTTGGTAGCAGTGGACTTTGTTTTAGAATGTCTTCTTGCTTTAACCATGGTTGTTTATAGATTTTGTTGCTGTTAAGTGCTGTCGAGTTGATTCTGACCCATAGCGACCCTGTATAGGGTTTCCAAAGAGCAACTGGTGAGCTTGAGCCACCGACCTTGTGGTTTAAATGGCTTTGCAGTGTGGCGCATTAGTCCACAGTGCCACACACCACGACTCCTGTTTATAGATTGTTGTTGTTGTTAAGTGCCGTCGAGTCGGTTCCGACCCATAGCGACCCTGTACAAGGTTTCCGAGGGTGTAAATCTTTACGGAAGTAGAAAGCCTCATCTTTCTCCCACGGAGCAGCTGGTAGTTTCGAGCTGCTGACCTTCAGGTTCGCAGCCCGATTCGTAACCACTACACTACCAGAACTCCTTTGTTTATAGATAGGCAAACAGTATTTATGTAACATACACTGTAACTCTGAAACACTCCAGTAGTTTCCATTTCTGCAAAAAATGTCCCTGTCGTGTTATGGAGCGTTAGAACTACTCTTTCCCTGTCCTCTTACAAAATGAATCATCCAAACAAAATGATTTCTTCACCCCAAACATGGTGGTTTGATTGAATTCAACATTTTATGAGGAACTGGATTTAGTGAAACCAATTTGTGTTTTCTCCAAGTGTTATCTAAAGTCTTTGGCAAACTTTTCTGCCCTTGATTTAAGGAGAAAGTTAAGACTTTCTTCAGTGAAGAAATGGAAGCAATGGGCCGGACAACTGCAGGAACAACGACTTGATACCTAGCAGAGGAGGTAGCAGTCAGATACCTGGACCACTGACCTTTTAGTTAACAGCTGAGAACTTATTGCACCATTGTGCCATCAGATCTTCTCTACAATGGTGGTGGTGGTTCGATGCTGTCGAGTCGGTTCCAACTCATAGTGACCCTGTTTCCAATGCTGCAAATCTTTATAGGAGCAGAAAGCCTCATCTATCTCCAGTGGCTGGTAGATTCAAACTGCTTTTGGTTAGCAGCTCAGTAGACCACTATGCCACTGCCCAATCTAGAGCTGCAGGATTTTGAACTTTCAAATGCTGAGAAACGGTAACATTATTATAACTATGTAACACATGTACCATAAATTTAGTACATAGCTATCCAATGCTCCATACAAATTTGAAAGCAAAGAACAGCTTGAAGACATCTCTATGCTAGAATTTCTCAGCGGTTTCTAGGTTCCCTATTAAGATTAATTCACAGTGTAACCTTGTAATCAGACGAAGACCTGTCCTAAGGAAATGCTGCTTCTGTAGGTTATACAAAGTACTTCTTGTCTAAACTCCCAGCTAAGCCTTGAAACTCCTAAATGAATGCCAGTTTGGGAGGTAGGTAAACGTTCCCCATAAATATTGATCAATTAACCTGTTTAAGGAATTATATGAAAATTAATTAAATGAATGTAAATTTCTTTCCAGGGTAGGCAAATACTGCCATCAAATATTTTTTTTTTAATTGAAATTTTACAAAGATTCTAGACTCTGGTGTTATAAATAGTTTACGCTGCCTGGCAGAGCACTAGATTTTAACACTTCGTTGCATCTCAAACAAGACTTATCCTTGTCCTGTTTTTCTTTGTTTCCAGATGGTCTCCCAGCTTGATGCCCAAATATCAAAGCTCATGGAACAGTTGGGGAATGAGGCGAGGCTGCACCAGAAAGCTTTTCAGAGGGCCCAGAAAGCAGAGAATCAGTTAGAAACTCTTCAGGGCCAATTAACACAACTGGAGGAAGAGCTGGCATCTGGAGAGTGTTTGAGAGACAACTTGAATTTTGAGAACCAAAAAGTAAATCACCTGAGGGCATGCCTCTGGGAGGAAAATGTCCGTTACAGTATTCCATTTTACCTCCAAACCTTGTGAATCTTACAGGACTTAGATTGATTAAATTTTGGCATCAACAAATTTCTAGAGCAATGGGTGTCCCTCTTAGGCCTCTTACTATCTTTTGAAGCTTCCTCAATTCAAATTAGTTCAATTAAACTCGCCATGTGTTTATTGAATGTGATAATAGGTATGCTGGGGTCCTGGTGTGGCCCTGTGGAATAAGGCACTGGATCACAAGGTTGGTGGTTCAAACTCACCAGCTGCTCCTTGGAAACCTTTGTTGTTGTTGTTAGATGCCATGAGTCGGTACCGACCTATAACGACCTTATGCACAGCAGAACGAAACACTGCCCGATCCTGGCCCAACCTCACTACTGTTGCCAGGCTTGAGTCCATCGATGCTGCCACTTAGCCAATCCATCTCGTTGGGGGTCTTCCTCTTTTTCTCTGACCCTCCACCTTAACAAACATGATATCCTTCTCCAGCAACTGGTCCCTCCTGACAATATGTCTGAAGTATGAGAGACAAAGTTTGGCTATCTTGGCCTCCAAGGAGCACTCTGGCTGCACGTCTTCCAAAAAGGATCTGTTGGTTCTTTTGGCAGGCCATGGCACTTTCAACATTCTCCAATATGTGTCAGAACTGACTCAACAGCACTTAATAACAACAACATTGTATATAAAGCCGTGAAGGTTGGGGGCTAAGGCATGAGTAATATGTGTTTCTAATCTTAAATGGATCTAAGTGAGTGGTGGTTCTGGTGTGAGGCTGTAGAATAAGCACTGGACTACTGCATAGTGGTTAAAAGTTGGGCTGTTAACCTCAAGGACAGCAGTTTGAAACTACCAGCCATTCCAATGGAGAAAAATGAGGCTCTCTGTTCCTGTAAAGATTTGCAGCCTTGGAAACCCTATGCAGGGTCTCTATAGGTCAGAACCGACTCCACGGCACACCACCACCACTAAGTGCAAGGTTGGTTGTTTAAACCCATCAGCCGCTCCTCAGAAACCTTATACAAGTCTGAACTGACTTGGCACTTAACAACAACAAACAGGGCAGACAGATATTCAAACACTGTCTTATGCTATGAGAAGGCTTCAAAATGTTCATGGAAAAACAAAATGAAGAGAGAATGGTATTTTCTGAAGCCGCACAGGGTAAGGCGCCATGCGCTATAATAAACAGATGCCATGAGCTAATCGGGTGTTGTAGGAAGTCAGTGAGAGCAGCTGTACCTTTTGGAGGGGGGGCTGATTGTAGAGGGGAGGTGGCTTCATTTCCTAGGGATGCCAGAATGAAATAACCACGAGGTGTGTACTTTTAAGATCAGAAAGTTACTCTCTCTGCTCTGGGAGCTGCCGTCTGAATCCAGGCCCTCAGCAGGGCCTGTACTCCTTGTTGGCTCCTTGGAAGGGTTCCTTGTCCCTGTCAGCTTGGGAGCTTCCTGGACCTTTCTTGGCATTCCTTGCCTGGTACAGATCCTTGAAAAGTGTCTCCCATGTGTGACTCTTTTCCTGTGTTTTCTTCCCTTTTATAAGGTGCCAGCAGCAAGGGGATCAGGACTAGGACCCACCCTACTCTGGCATGATAGGTGCTGGGCTGCTGACCAGAAGGCTGGTGGTTCGAGCCCACCAGCAGCTTTTTGGGAGAACGATGGAGCTGTCTGCTCCTGAAAAGATTGACATTCTCAGAAACCCTGTGCAGGGTTGTTATGAGTCAGAACTGACCTGATGGCAGTGTTTTTGATTTTTCTCTAATCCTCTAAGAAAGACTGTTTCCATAGTCAGACTTACGTTTGCAGGTACAGGGATTTGGAGCTCAACAGATTTTTCTTGTTTTGATTTGGGGGCAGGGTGGAGGACACAATTCAACCCCTAACAGACAGTAATAGTTGAGTTTGTTTATTGAAGATAAGCAGGGTTTTAGTTGAGAGAAAGGGTGCCTACTTGTAGGGGAAAAAGTTTGCATAAAGGCTTGGGAAGTGGCAGGTGCATATGTACTCCTAGATGACAGTGTTCTGGTCCTGCTTGGCTGGGGCATGGCGCGTGCTTGGATTAAGGTAGGAGAGAAGACTGGATGAACAACTTGGTGCTCGATTATGAAGACTGAGTATTCTTTATTCTGTAGAATACTAAGTGTAAGAAATGGTCTAGAAAAGTCATTTTGCCATCACTGGAGGCTTGAGGTTGCAGAGAGACTCACAAATGATGGTGACAAGGAGGAGAGGTCCAGACTAGATGGCCTCCTAGCGGCAGCTGCAGTGGTTGGAAAAGAGAAGCCAGTTTGCATTGGGCTGAAGGGTGACAAGAAAGGGAAGGGGTTGAGTATTAAGTGCAGACTGAAGTGCAGACTATTGGCATGACACTGTAGGATAAGTGCTGCACTGATAACCTCAAGGTCAGTGGTTCAAATCTACCAGTCGCTCCTTGGAAACCCTATACAGGGTTGCTATGAGTTGGAACTGACTTGATGGCACACAATAACAACAAAAACTACTCTGAAGTTTGGTGATCAATAGAAAGAAGGATGAGCCAATAGTTCTGAAAAATCATATCCAAGTAAGGCTTTGTTGGGCAGGATGGAGAAAGAAGTGTTTGTGGCTGTAGGGGTCCATAGAGGGGTGAGGTGGGAATGGAAAGGAAGATAAGCGGAATCAAATACTTGGTACAGAATTTGGCCATGAAAAATGCTCCTTGGTTTAAAAACCTGTACTCCAGGAACTCATTGATTTTCATTCTTCTTTAACTAAAATTCAGGAAATATCCTACCTGCATTATGTACTAACTCATTTTAATTGGGGGTCCTGGTGTGGTGCTGTATGTAGGGTTAAGTCCTGGTGTGGTGCTGTATGTAGGGTAAAGTCCTAGTGTGGTGCTGTATGTAGGGTTAAGTCCTGGTGTGGTGCTGTATGTAGGGTAAAGTCCTGGTGTGGTGCTGTATGTAGGGTAAAGTCCTGGACTACAAGGGCAGTTTGAATCATAAGGTCGGTGGTTCAGACTCATCAGTTGCTCCTTGGAAACCCTATACAGGGTCTTTATGAGTCAGAACCGACTCAACAGCACATAGCAACAACAACAATAACATACCAAAATGGTTCTCAGTTATGAAAGCAAATTATGTAAATGGATTCTGCCCATGGTGAATTTCCCATAGGTAATAGCTATGGAATTCGTGGCCTACAATGGCAGTATGCATGTCAAACTGAAAACAGTGTGTCACAGAGCTTAAATCTTGCATTGCACCCACCTTTGTGTCAGAGTAGAACTGCTCTAGAGGGTTTTCTTTCTTTTCTTTTTTAATGCTTTATTGTGAATTATGTGATAGTTTACATGGGAGGACATCACCTTCCCATTGATCCCATTGTATACCATTTCCTTGCCATAGTTACAATCCCTTCCATGCATCATCCATCAACCAAAGGGTATACCCCACAAGCCTGGCCCCTGGTCATCCTTATACTGCCCCTCACTCTCTCCGGGTCCAAAGTCTCCAGCCACTCCATCTCCCCACGTCATCGTCTCTGTCTCCATCCCTGGCATCACTGCTTCTCTGGGTAGGGTTCCGTTCCCCACTCTTCTCCTTTGATGGTCCCAGGGACCTCCGCTTCTAAACTGCAAGGTTAATCACTCCCCTTCCTTTGCCCCCAAACGTCTACCTTTACATTTCTAGCCCTTACAATCAGTTCTGATAACAATTATTCACTATCATATTGCAAGAGACCTGTCTTTATCTCCTTTCATCAGCCTTGACTAGGCAGAATGGATACTACTCAGTGGAGATTCTACCTTGCTCCACACCCTCCTGAGGGTTTTCTTGACGGGAATATTTATGGAAGCATATCACTAGGCCTCTTCTTTGGCGGTACCAGTGATGTCGTTATGTGCCATTGAGTCAATTCTTACCCATAGCGACTCTGTATAGGGTTTCTAGAGAGTAGCTAGTGGGTTTGAACTGCTGACCTTGCAGTTAGCAGTCCGGTGTTTATCCTGCAATGCCACACTAGGGCTTCTGGAAACACTATACAGGGTAGTTAAAAGTTGGAACTGACTCATTGGTACTTACCAACAACAACATCAATGGTGGGTTTCCATAAGTGGCTGCTGGATTTGAACTGCTGACCTTGAGGTTAGCAGTCCAGTGCTTATCTAACAGTGCTACACCAGGGCTCTCCTGGGGAGGTTTAAATTGCAAACTGTTTGTACAACCCAGGATTGTAGATAATTGAGGTTTATACAAAATAGTGCAGAATAGTTTCCTATCTATGTTAAACTGAGATTCAGATGCACAAAATAATACAGTTATGTTTCACTTGTATGGAATTAAAGTTTCTAGCAACCTTCTGGGGGCACAGCCAAGAAAGAGTCTTTAAGTAGGTACTTCTGATGAAAAATACAGCTAAGTGGGGTCTAGGTTGGCCTGTCTTAATCTTCTTAATTTTCCTTTAGATCTTTGCATTTTAGGTGGATGGGCTACATGTAGAAATAGAAACTGTTTCCCATAAGTACTGCTATGAAATGCATGGTCCACCAATGGGAATATACACGTAAAATTTGAAACAGTGTTTTACAGAATTTAAATATTGTTGATTGCTGTCAAATCAATTCTGGTTCATGTGTTATAACCCCATATGTTACAGAGAACTACTCTGTAGAGTTTTCTTAGCTGCTTCAGTACTCCATTACCAAGCATTGAATTTGGGGTTCAGGATTCATCTGGGTATCATGTGAATTACCTGTAAGGTAAGAAAGAGAAAGCTTCTGTGAGATTACCCATTAACTATATTTTTGTGTTCCATTTTGCATTTAGTATCTTAGATTTCTGGATCAGCTTTCAGAAAAAATGAAGTTGGACCAGATGGCTGCTGAACTTGGCTTTGACATGCGTCTGGATGTAGTTTTAGCCCGCACAGAGCAGCTGATCCGCCTTGAGAGCCATGCAGTCGTTGAAAACAAGACGATCGCCCACAATTTACAGAGAAAGGTAGAGCTATTAAAGCAGGACTCAGGAAAGGAATTTCTGAGAATCCCAAATTATTGAACAATAATTTACCCCTACAATATTTACCAATGTCACTAGAAGACATAACAATATGCATTTGGAATTTGAGTCTCTATTTCAAGTCTGAGCGGTTGATACTCCACAAAGCCAAACTCACTGCCATAGTATTGTTTCTCACTCATAGCGACCCTGTGTAGGGTTTCGGAGACTGTGACTCTTTACGGGAGCTGACAGCTATATGTGTCTGATGTGCAGTGTGTCTTAGGCTGAGCTTTCTGGAGAAGCTTATATATGTATATATACCAAGGCAGTGGCTCCTACAGTTAGTTGTAGAGATGGTCAGTCCCATGTCCTTCGGTTAGATGTCAGGCTGCAGGCTTCTGACTCATGTAGCTGCAGAGCTGATGAACCAAGTTTGGCAGGTCCCACCTGCATTCCACCAGCTTCCCATCCCTTCTCAACTTTGCCCTTTTTTGGATTTTGAATGGTTGATCATTCCATGGTGAGCACACAAAGCTAGTGTTTCCCCCTATATACCTATCTTCTGCTTGGCTGAAAATTGCGCCATAAAAGTGAGTTCTTTACTAGGCCATAGTCTCAGATTCCACAAGTCTCTTTCTGACTAGTAAGACTGATCTTTTCTTCTTCTTTTTTTAAATTTTGATTTTTGCTCTACATTTTCTCTCACTCTGTTTGGGACCCTCTAATGTGATCCCTTTCAGAGCAATTGGTAGTGATGGCTGGATACCATCTAGATCTTCTGGTCTCAGAGTCTTGGAAATTGATGTTTACATTTTCATTAGTCCTTTGGACTAATTCCAGTCCTCTTCAATCCTCTTTAGTCTTCTTTCTTCTGTACATAGATAGACCAAAAAAATAGTTGCACCTTAGATAGTCACTCATGAACTTTTAATATCCTAGATGAAAAAA